ATTTTTCACTCTTTTCACAGATATGTAAAATTTTGCAGTTTTTTTTTCGGATCAAATTGGCATTTAGTTTCAATAAGGTGGGATGCACAGGTTGAATCCATTTTTCTTAATCTCCAGCTTCTACAATGTTCTTTAATTCTCGTTTCTACAGAACGTCCCGTTTGACCTATGTATACGCTAATGCAGTCTTGACGAGTTAATTGGTAAACTCCACTGTTGCTATACTTTTCGATTTTGTCTTTGTGGTTGCAAAACATTTTGCCTAGATTGTTTGTATAGTAGAAAGCCGGTCTGTAGATGTCTTTGTTCAGTGTGTTATATATTTTATGAGTATATTTACCAATGTAGTTCATCTTAAACCTTTTTTTTTATTGTCGTTTGATACAGTACGTGGGTATATTGATATTAAGTTTTAGCTTTTAATTGTTTAAACAACAATGTGTTAATTAACTTTGTTGTAGAATCACTGTTGATAGCAATTTGTTTCATGATCTCCAGATGGCAAGGGTATAGTGATAAGCCCGTGTGACAAACTATGTAACACGGCAAATTTGTGAGATACTAGATGTCTTGAAGAAGCATGTATGATGGTATCACTATAAGTGACATATTGTTGTTTAAACAAAAGGGAATCCTCAATAGCCGCGACACTTTAACTTATTTTAGGCAGGATTAGAGTAAATTAATTTATTAGACCTTATTTTTTTTCCTTCTCCCACTCATGTCCTTCATCATGTCATCCTGTATTACCATGTCAAGTATGGTGCTGATTGATCAAGAAATGTGGAAACGTATAAGGAACAGATATACACACACGTATTGACGTTTAATTATATAGATTAGATGGGGGATTAAATCCCCTCATGACCTTCCTCATGTCAATTTGTATCACTGTGTCGAGTTTGGTGCTGATTGATCTAGAAATGTGGAAACGTACAAGAAACAGATACATACACACACACACACGTATTGACGTTTAATTATATATATATTAGATGGGGTCCAACCCCCCTCATGACATTCTTCATGTCAGCTTGTATCACTCTGTCAAGTTATGCTGATTTCGTAGTTTTTCCAAAATTAGGTATAAGGTTAGATGGAGGTCTAACCCCTCATATCCTTCCTCATGTTATCCTCTATCACTGTGTCAAGATTGGTGCTGATTTGGTAGTTTTTCCGGAATTAGATAGGAAATTAGATGGTGTTCACATACCCCTGGTGTCCAACCACCACCTCCTGTGGAAACAATTAGATAACAAAGTTTTCATTGACACTAAGAATGTGACGTCACAGACATTAAACTTGAGTTTGCTGATTCAATATTTTTGTAGGCCTACTATTATAGGAGCTGAAAGGTGCGAACAAACAAACACAAACTAACGTTTGTCTGCAAATTACTGAATCTTGGGAGATGAATACTTGATAATGAATTAGGTGTATAAAAATATTCAAAGAAAACTTTCATGTAGTATTCTTTAGGGTGAAAACGAGCTAATCCAGGAAATATAAAAGTAGCAAAATATGAAGTGAAATGGGGTAATGTAAGTTAATTTCGTGTTACATTTCTTAATAACTAAGCAGATAAAGTGTATACAGTTTTGAGGTTAAAAATTTGTTATGCCTTATTTCGTTAGTTTAACTAAAATTAGGTGTAACGGGACAGTTTGATTTTGTAAGCTAATTAATTGTTGTGAAAACCCAAGTTCATTGTTTACTGTGAGTATCTGTTTTAAATTAACTTTTACCTGTAATCTAATTAGCTAAGTTGCATCTACCAACTAAGAGCTTAGCTTATAGCGTGCACTCTTTCATTTCGGTAGAACACTGATCAGAGTTATCACATCAGAGCAACTATCCAGGCATATCTCAAAGTTTTCAATCATGGGTGGAGTTGGAAACTTAAATATTTATTTGCGGTAATCTATATGCAGCCAGCCATATGCGTTAAAACGTCCAATGATGAACCCAGAGTTATTTGTGCGTTCGGACTACTAAAAAGACATTTAATAAATTGCAAATAGTGGACAAATGATAGGAAATTTATAAGAGGTAGTGGGAATGACTCGAAAGGAGTGGCCTTCGCAAGAATCATTGCTACTGAAAATGTCTCTATCAGTTCAATGAACAAGCCGTAATACAACGGGTCATGTAACACCTTCCATGGAATTGAAACAACCTACATTTGAGATAGTCTTGTGTAGTTAACTAGTATATATCATGCCTATTTCATATTCAGTTGTATTACGTTGCATATATTTCAGTCGTATATTTTGTTATAGCATTACCTATATTGTTATACAAATTTTCTTCTTTTAACTACATATTTAAAACCGAATAAAACACTTCCGTTAACAAATTTTTGGTGATATTTCTGTTTAATAAATTTTATGTAATAATTATGTAAATAACTTTTAGCACAGTGTGCTTTATGTCTAGTAGTTTTAAATTGACTTTTATCTAAGGATAAGCCTTTACTAACGCATTATAGCAATCGAAATGCACTTGAATGTATGTAATTATTTAATGCACAAATTAGACCTTCATACAAATGCAGTGTTATAACTCAATAGATTTATTTCCAAAAACCACTTCTGCTTTGTATATATATATGGACGTGAAAGTGGATACACATAACGACTTTATGCATGTGTGCATGACAATATAAATATACGGAAGTGGAAAAAGGGTACACAGACGATATTTCTACTTTATATACATAAGAACATGAATTAGTGTTTAATTAATCTCATAATGTTGAATTCTTCATTTATTGATGTAAACTGACATCAGTGCATACTAGAGACAGAAAGAATTTGTTTACCATGTTGAAACACTTAGTCAGTAGACTGAAGACCTAGAAGACTAAAATATATTAATGAAAATAAGAAGATTGTTTGTTTTGAATTTTGCGAAAAGCTACTTGAGGGCTATTTGCGGTAACCATCCCTAATTTAGAATAATAGACTAGCGTCAGCGGTTGGGATCCTCTTTATCTACGAAAAGTGGGACTGATTGTCTCATTATAACGTTTCCAAGGATGAAAATGGAGAACATCTTCGTAGACAGGATTCGATCCCGTGACCGTTAAGTTTTGAATGTCTTAACCACCAGACCACGCCAGACCTCAATAAGGAAGAATAAAAAAAAAATATTTACATAACGTATATTTATAATTTCTCTTATTTAATTTTGATATTAATTAAGTCTATTTTATAATTAGTTGATGATATGATTTGTTTAGATGACACAAGGAAACAATTCTAAAGCACTAGACTGAAATACTTTAAAATTGCAACAACTATTACCTCCTAGTGCAACTTCAAAATATTATTACTATAATCACAATTGGATAAAATCGATATAATAAATTAACAAACATGAAAAGTAACAGTCAATTATTGTTAGCAGGTGGGATTTGGGAAAATATCATGTGTTTGATACTCCCCTTTAATCAATATATAATTTTTTTCGAACATTCTGTTTTCTTCGGTGTTGCTAAGCATAGCAAGTCGATCAAATAAACAGCTTAAGGTACCTTTACTCTAGTTGTACGCCGAACCAAGAACACTTTTATTAGTCATTTGCAGAAGTGATAGCTGTAACTTCACTATTAATGCACCAAAATATGAAACTGTCTCTCCTTTTTGGTGAGCCCTCCCCCACAGCGGTATGTCGGTGGGCTTACAACGCCCTTTAAATAGGGGTTCGATGCCCGTGGTGAAACAGTGCACAGATAGCCTATTGTGTAGCTTTGTGCTTAACTACAAACAAACACCTCTTTTGCAAATGGCACCCCCTGTACAATATACAAATTGTACATGTACATTTACTTGAATATATAAATGAAATTTCCTGTGTTTTTCTTGTCCCCTGAAGATGATGGAGCATGTTTCATCGAAACATATAGGGTTTTAGCTTTATAATTGTTTCTAACTGTATACAAAAAATTATTGTGAATTTTTTTAAAAATGTTGCAGTCGTCAACCGATTTTATTAAATCCGTACAAAAGAGCTGTCGATCGAAAGTATTAAGATTATTATTGGTAAATATTAGAGCTTTTAGATTTAGAGGTTTTAATTTATAAACTTATATTTGTATGTTTTGCCTGATTTTAGCTGTGAGGTTTTTACTTGAATTTTAAGTTTTAGTTTTCTTGTTTTTATTTTTTATTCAGGATTGGTTCACACTGAGCTGGTAAAAGAGGAAGAATAAAGGTTTTCTCTCTCTCTCTCCTTACAGTTCCACACACACGCACTTCAAACTTGCCTATGTTTAAAGGTTTTCTCTCTCTCTTTACAATTCCACACACACGCACTTCAAACTTGCCTATGTTTAAAATTAGCTTTTCATTGTGATTCTGTCAATAAAGATTCTGATTCATGTATTTTTGTTGTTATCTCTTTCATTTTGTTGGATTCACCCAGAATTTGGAAAAATTATCCTACATTGCATGATATTAATATTGTTACGTATTAGAATTTCAAATTTCAGATGATACTTTAAATTTAGTAGTTAAATTGTGCTTTTGATTTAGTATTTAAATAAATGCCGATATATCTTCAATTTATGATATTTGCCAACAAGATTGATTCACACAGTTTTCTTTGTTTTATATAATTGTTTTAATATACAAACAAAGTACAATTTACAATAACAATTATTACAAATATTTATTACAAACAATGATTTATGTACAAAAGTTTCACAAACTTACAAGCAATATAAAGTCTTCTTTCTAGTCTGGAATTTCCTTGATATCTTATCGAGGGTTGACAATGAGTGAGTTAATTTCGAGTTGACGTAGTTATAATTCACCAGTTTTAGCTAGCTAGTTTTGTCTTTCGTTATTCACCAGCCACACACGCCGAGTTTTCCACGATGAAATTATATAATGTTTTCGTAAAAATACTAATGTCCGATGAGAATCCAACGTAGTTAAATGATTTGTAATGTTCGAAATTTATAACCGTTCCTGGTCAAATATCTGAAGTTTCCCGATTAATAAGCGCTAATCGCAATTATAGTTATAACTTACAACGTTTATTGTATATCAACTATATCAACCCAATAATACATAATATTGTTTGGCGCGTCGTGTTGGTTGTATTTATAGGCCTGTGGAGAGTTTCTCGAAAATTCAGATTACGTAACAATAGAAAGCCACACTAGCGTTTACGTACACATATGTTGTTGATTCTTACACTCGAGAATCTTCTACAACTTTAGAGTATAGGCGGGAGTTTCGCAATACATATTTAACAGTATAAGCTATGCATGTTTCTAAATATTAATCGATATTAAAATAGATATATAATAATAATATTCATAGAATTTGCTTTTTTTATAGGTACTATCCTCAAGTAAATCAATGTATGTGATAAAACCATAAAGAAGGTGATTCTCTCCCTTATTTTGAGCCTCAACAAGAGAGAAACTTGGACAAGTGAGGTCATCGTGGTTGTGCACGGTCTATGGTGTCTGATACTGAGTGGGGCAATATCTACGTGATCCCAAGACACTCATTAGCTAGAGAAGCGGACCATCTATGCTGAAGGATGTAGTGATCAGCCCAGCTATTTCAGGTATGTGTTTGTAAGGATACACAATCGAGAGATGGAGTTCCTGGTTGATAGGGGAATGGCCAGAACTCTGGTGGATACCATTGTATATCAGGCTTTCCAAGCAAAGCCATTACTCTGGCCAGTTAATACTCGCACCATTCTGGCAAATGCTGACATGCTAGATTTGGATGGAAACATGTGTGTCTGGATAAGTCGAGGTCACACAATTCACAGAAAAAATTGTCATAGATCTCGGTTCTGGCATTGACATCCTCAAGATGGATGTACTGCAGAAACTCTCTGTCAGTTTTCCTGTGAAACAAGTGAACTGAAGTTCCATTGTAAAAACCATCTAATGCTGGTTAGAAATATTTCAGGAACAGTCAATTGACAGTTGTGTGCCTTGTAGAGGGAATCACAGAACAATTTATCCATGTACACAAACAGTGGTTCGTTGTTTACTGTGAAAAAGCCTTGCGCATTAGCATCATGTAATGTGGTTCTTGACTCAATATTTGGAACATTATTTTCTGCTTGAAAAAAGTATCATTAGCATGAATGGTACTCTGTTCATTGAGTGATTAAGTTGCAATGATGTTCTGCAATTCAGTTTCCCATTAGAATGATCATTAGAATAGGAAGCAAAGTGCGCCCTGTCAGAAAGCGAGTACTCAACTGTTAGTACATCTGAGGCCATTAGTTGGTGATTGCTGAAGCAAATTTTCAGTGAACTGTAGATTACGTTTACCAAAGTATTTTCACGCGAAGCCCTTGTGATTAACTATGTTGACTTTTGCTCGGTGATAACCATGACGTGCATTGATGGCTTTCTATTGTAAGGGACATAGGAATGTTTAGATGTGTTGGAATATATCCAATAGTTCAGGTTTATAGATCTAGCCGCCAGATACTGACTAGTTGAGTGGTGTGATGAGCGTAGAGCCATAACTGCTTTCAGCTCTCGAAAAGTTTTATAAGAGTTCTGAATCATATAATTTGGTATGTAATTCCCCAGCTATTTTCTAGATGTTAATGAATTTTACATTACAATAGGAAAGATGCCGGTCTATGTGAATAATGTCTTAATATTTGGCTGTATGTTTGAGTGTCATGAACCAAACTATTGCATTACAGTGAATAAGAATGTCAGGATTAAACCAAAACCCAGTATGTGTGCCCTCATGTGTATGCAAATAGAATTTTTTGGACATATAGTAAGGAGAAAGACGGCATCGCAACTGCAGTTTTAGACTGGATTCAACCCACGAGAGGATTAGACATTCAAAGTTTCCTTGGACTTGTGTCATACTATCGACAATGAGTTTTCAAGATTGCAGCACAAATTAGCAAGTTATATGGAACAGGGAATGCAAACATGCATTTCTGTTCTTAAAACCTGCTTTCTTGTGAGTTCTTATTGGGTACAGATGATAGTAACAGTAGAAGGAGGGCAGTATCGTTACAATTACATGATTGGGCTGAAAATGTAATAGCATATATTAGCTTTATGGCTGTGGCTCCTGAGTGTCAATAATGCAGAATGAAGGCAGAAATGCTTGACTAAGTTCGGCTGACAACCGTTCCTTATGGTGCCTATTAAAAATATTGAGATTCTTACACCGCCGAGCAATAATTATTAAGATATGGTTTACAGATTTAGTCCATAGCTATCATGATAATAGCACGGAAACCTGAATCAAAGTGTTGCCAGATACAAGTATATGTGATGATGATGTGTAAAATATATTTATGTATATGTCATTATATGTGTATACATACAAGATGTTTCAAACATATACATATTAGAGTTAAATACAAAGTCATTCATAAGTTTTTATTACTTGTATAATATAAATGAATCAATTATTGAGAATACAACTACTAGCAATAAATGAATGAACATGATGATTTGATCTGACCTCAAGTTCTGAAGTTAGCTGTAATTACTGGCATGTAAAATATTATTGGATGTTACAGTGCACCTATTGTCTTCCTTAATGCCACAGTGAAAATATTTCACTTTTCACATTGAAATATTTGATAGGTAGTGAATTTTATAGAAAAGATAAGACTAATAGCTAGCCTCACCCTACTCTTAGTGGGAAAACAGAGTTTGGTCTGTTTTTTGTTGTTGTTGTTGCCTTAGGGCGTTATAATGTTACGGTCAACCCCACTATTCGTTTATAAAAGAGTAACCCAAGAGTTGGCGGTGGGTGTTGATGATTAGCTTCATTCCCTCTAATCTTTCACTGCTAAAGTAGGGACGGCTAACACAGATAGCCCTCGTGTATCTTTGCGCGAAATTCAAAGCATATCAATTGTTTTTGTTTTTTGCAAATGTATTGAAACATTACAATTAGTTTGGCTTAAAATGTGATTAAACAGATGAAATTATTTATAGAAAGTGAAATTCCCAAAGAGTGACATCTAAAATACCAATTGTAAGTTTGGTGTATCCAATATTTTATTTAGTTATGTTTGAATATTTTCAATCATGCACGTTTCTGAAAATTTCCTTAACTTTAGTCCAGTACAAGGCATAAAATGCATAAATGTGAAGACTATGCATGTATGGCCAGAGTCGAGAAGTAACACTTTAGTTATATGTCTTTATATTTGCCCATTTCTGTGCTAAAATTATATCTTAAAAGGAAACGAGATGTAAATGAATTTCCACAACCAGAAAAATATAAGTTAATGACCCACGTGATGTCCGACACATCTTGGTTGCTAGTGTGGGTACCATATTGTCCAGTCCTGCCCCATGATATGCTAGATATAGCAACGGGACAGTAATAGAAGAAATATAAATGGATACCTGAATAGCTGTCGACCATCTCGTACCAATGACTGCTTTAGAAAGAGCAGGTGGAATATATAGATCGAGCACATGATCTAAAGATTCCTTTATTTACCAAACTGTCTACAAGGTAGTAGGATTATGTTCTACAGGACGTGTAAGCCTGTAAACACAGTGCTTTATCACGGCAATTATTATAGCACTTTCGTTCTAAGAGAAGTTTAGGAGCAGACGATTTCTGTAAAGGGTTATTACAGATTTATCCCACACTTTTGACTGAGTTATTCAGACCAATTGGTAGTTGCTTGACCCTCCTATATTTTCAATATTGGCTTTTGCTATTTAAGATTGAATTCTTAGCCCTCTGTCTATCTTTGTTTTCATCTAGCCAGTTGTGATCTGTATTACATTCTTTGCATATGGAAATCCTACACAGCTGTATCATTGGAAGTAACTATGGGGAAGGTTTTTAACTTGATGATTTTACAGATGCTACAAAGTTCCAGTTCTTTCCAACAACTCCATTGGGTGGTTCTACCTTCACCTGTGGATGAAGATACATTTCCTGTTGATGTGTCAGACATACAAGCCCTTAAGTCTCTAGAGCCAATGAAGTTGACCTACACCGCAGTTTAGCAAGTCGTATTGCTCATCAAGGGTTCAACTGGATCAATGATGTCAAACCTATCAGCAGTCCAGCCAGCAAATCTCATGTAGATCTAGAACCCCCAGAAGTGAAAGTAATAACCACTACTAAGATCAAGTTAAAGTCTGAACACCGGGTGAAGATCTACAAGTGCCGTTTCAAAGAGTGCTCAGCAAAAATGTGAGATACTTACCGCGATATGAATCATTTTATAACTTTATAAAGAACTTTCGTTTGAATGAAACTCGTGGCTTTATTATATTTAGAAACAATATTTTAAATATACACTTCTTTTTATTTTATTTACATAATAATTCTATTAAAGAAAATAATAATTTAATAGTCGAAGAATATTATAAATATATATTAAATATTTAGAAAAGATCATGTAAACGAGCCCACTAATACTTTCCTTTTTGATTGATACTTCAATTAACAGACTGTGAAGAAGATAATTTTTTTAACATTTAAGTAAAACTTGATCGTGCAAATAAAAACAAAATGGGCTACAGCTAAACGCTTCAGAAAAAAAGTCGCAGATGAACATTATGACTGAAAGAGCTTGTTAGTAGAGAGAGAATCAAATGTATATTCGTGAATATAAATTCTAATTCGAAAGCCTTTGATACATGTATCCCGATAGATACATTTGATTTTAATCACATGAAGAATTTCACAAACAAATCACGAAGTTAATTGTTTTAAATCGTCAGTGCCATGAATGGTAGTACTACTGGTATATAAAATAATTATATAATTTAAAAACAAATACAACCCTTTCGCTGCTGGGAAGTTTTAATAGACTATTTTATAAACAAATATGTCAATAAGTAAGTAAAACATTTTAGATATCTATAACTGACTAAAGTTTAGCAATTTTTCATGACATTAGCAAATAAAGTCCGACAAAAATACAGTATCTGAACAGTAAAAAGACTAATTTGTCATTACAACAAATTTCAGGGAAATTCAATAAAATCAATTACATGACATTTGTGATGTACTCCGAATTTTTTGTCAAACATATATATTTTTTATAAACAATATAATATATATATATATATATACTCACACACAATCATATACATAACTATATTTTATGCTCCACATTTCATATTTATTAATAAAAAACGTAGTATGTGTTAGAGGCTCTTATCGATGTAACAGTCTTTTTTATAATTCAGATGTACAGTGAGAGACATTAGCTGTAAGCATTTTCTCACGCACGGCAATGAATATTAATTCTAGCACGTAGGAGAACAAAGATTATGGCAAGCACAGATCTTCAGGCCATGGTTCGTTTCTGTAAAATAAGATTGCAATCGTGAATTCAGCCTATAAGTTTAATTCACGCAATATTTCAAGATGGTATATGAAACTTATTTGCCTTTAAATACGCGTGAATGTTGTTTTCAGTTTCGAATAAGGTAAGGTGTCGTTACTTCTAGCAAAAAAAAACAAAGTTTCTTTGCCTATGTTATGATATATTGATAAACCAAGTATGTCTGAATATACCTTAAAACATTACACTACTTGATGCAAATTATGTTATTGTTGCTTTACGTTTAATTATCATTTTAAGTTCTATGAGTAATAAATGACATGAAACACTGACATTGAAAGAAGGTAATCTCATATAAAGTTAACATAAGACTTATTAGAATATAGAAAGATAGGACAAAAACTTTAAATCATTCATTAAATACTAAATTATTTGCTGGAAAAAAGTAATTAGAATAAATGGAGACATTGGTATTATATCAGGTAAATATTGAATGTTTCCTGTATATGTCTGTATAGAAAGCTTAAAATAATGTATGGTCAATCCTTATAAGTTTTTATAAAAGTGTACAATGTAGGTGTATTTGCTCACAAAGGTTCTTCTTTAATATTTCGAGTTTGCAAGTTTCTTTAAAATTGACATGAAAATTACATGTTTTATTAGAAAATTAGATTTCTTTAGATGCCATCTTTTCGTCCAATGTTTTATCTTATTTTTTGTATCTAACTTAGCCGTTTATATGGCTAAAAAAAGTCAATTAATTATGGTGACTGATTTTATATCTTGAGTTACAAAGAATAAAAAAAAACTCTAGGGACACGCCTTTAAAGTACATTCCGTATCATCATAATTACATAAAATGTCCTGACAAAGTAAGACAATAGACAGAATAATACCATGTAAATTACCTTTCTCCGAAATCATTCATCAATCACTTTATTACTCATGATATGATTCTTTTGAATCCTGCATAGATATCATCATCAAAAAGAAGCTTTCGACATGTAATCACTACAGGATGTACACGCTATTGTCAAATACAAGTATTAGGAATGGAATATTTATTACCTTCGTGCGACTTACTTTTCTCTGCTAAGGCAGCACTTTCTTCCAGTAAACATAAATTAGCGTGTGATTAATCAAAGTAATCTAACTTTTTTATGAATATCTCTCATAAATAGAACTAGGTGCGGCTAGTGCACAGTTCAGAAGACCAACTGTAGTACAGTGTTTTCTACCATCGGTTACGTCTCTTCTGGAATTTTGTATTTTATGTCTTGGAAAGTTATTATTCTGCTGATTGGTTTTGATGGTATTTCAAGGAAAGGCGCTTACAAAAATGGCTATCGATTTTTCCTAAATCGTATTGCTGAAATGATGAATGGTATATTTTAAACATACATTTCCATTATGTTTCGAACACTTATTGTGTTATAATAAGCATAAAATGAAGCATTTTCTTTCTGAAAATAAGTATTACTCCTTATATCTAAGATATTAAAAGATTATCATTGAACATAGCACAACTTTCATTTAACATAAAAGGCATGATTTTGTGTATTTTCTCGCTGACAGCAACGAAAAAAAATCACAACTGATGAAAACTGAGATTAATGTTTACATAGGTCGAATTCAGCAGTTAGCAGATGTGTCCTATTTATTAAAAAAAATTAAAATGCGTATATGTGTTAAACATATTTCTAGCCTAGTTATAAAGTTTGTAATCATATAGGGCCTGTTGGTTAAGGCCCTCGATTCGTAATCTGAGGATCGCGAGTTCGAATCTCTATCACTGATCATGCTTGCCCTTTAAACAGTGGGATTCTATAGAGTGACGATCAATCCCATTTTTCGTTGGTAATAGAGTAGCCCAAGAGTTGGCGGTAGGTGGTATTGACTAGCTACCTTCCATTTATTCTATCACTGCTAAATTAGATACAGCTAACGCAGATAGTCCTCGTGTAGCTTTGCACGACATTCAAAACAAACCGATCGTAATCATATACTGTTGTTAGAGCAACATTGTTCAATAATCTAATACAGCTTCATATACTGACGTTTGGTAAATAATACATAGTATTTATAAAACAGTTCATTGTAAGACTGAAGACATGCCACTGGGGGGTATAAGTGAAAAGATCGGTGACATGCTTAGCTTTTCATTACTGTTTAAACATACATTAATTTTGCATTATTTATATGTGACAAATAATACCTAACCATAAAGTTTATCATAATTTGCTAATTTTCTTATTAAATCTCAAAATTTTCTGTATAAAAAGTAATGACTGGTGCTCTAACGTGAAACAAACAAGGGCATAATAGTAAAATTCAGTTTACTGTCAATAAATTTCGTTATATTTATATAAACTACAAATTTGGAAGATATACTTCCCTGTAAATTTTTGATCACATTTTATAATTAACTCACTTAGGCTGTGGGACGTAGTAGTCCAAAATCGTAGGCCTAATTTTTAGTTATTTCTCAGTTCGTGTAATAATCAAAGCACATTGTATATCCAAGAAAATCTGTTATCTTATTGTTAAGTTGCTTCTTTTTTTAAGATCCAGTTATTAAAATGCTAATGTGTGTTCGGCCAAAATAGTAAATTATAGATCAATTCAAATAGAAAATCAACTATTCCCAATAAAAATGGAGATATCATTTATCATTATTGTCTGAGCTCTTCTACTTATTGATATCGCTACTAATACTGAAAGACTGAAATCCTTACAAAAAGATTTGCTTCTTTGAAGAAGAAAGAATATATATATATACATCTGGATTTTCGATTTGGACAATATCGGACTCTATACAGTAGACAGTATTAAATATATATAAACAAATTGTTAGAGAAATGTCCCAGATGGACTCTTTCTTGGAGCGTGAGGAGATCTAGAAGTTACTTCTTTTTAACTGAAAGGATAATCACCGAAGCGTGATCCATTTCCCTTACATAAGAGGGATTATTGTTGTGACGTTCGAAAACTGTTCGAGTAATGATCCGTTTATATGCTAGTTAACTATATTAAAGCTCTGTTATGTGGAAACTTTACAGACTGCAGAGAGATTCTGTGAAGTGCGAAGTTCCTATTGAATGCTTAAGTTTATAAAGACTTAATATTGCGATCATATTTATTTCTTAAACCGGTTAAGAACTTATTTCTTCCTAATAACAATTTCAACATGTCGTTATTATTTCTTATTTATTTCTTACTTTTATCAGAACCACATATCTTAGTTTCTGTGATCGAAGGCTGATTTCGTTTTCTCTGCATCATCGTGAGTTGTTATAAAATAATGGAGTGTAAACTAAATTTATAAAGTTTAACTTTTAAAATTTTGTCAAAAATTGTTTAAGAATAATATCATTGTGAAAACGTTATAAATAAAATATTATCAGTTATATTTATATTCATTGTTAAGCTAAAGCACATCTACTTTCTTTTAAAAAAAGGGAAATAAAAATATTTGTTTGCTAGTATTTCTTCAAAGAGCTTTATATAATTGTACTAAAAAAAAGTAAAATGCCTAAGACTTTATGTGCATTTAAAAGAAAATTTCATCAAAATTAAAATTGTAACAAAACGAAAATAAAAAATGAAAAAAGATGGATTATAGAAAAAAAAACATGTCTTTATGTACTGTAATACTAAAGCAATATTATTGTGGAATATATGTATCGACTTGGGATTTGATACTCATTTAACACTTAGCGACACAAGGACCTATATATAGATCGCTTAAACTTTATGACTTAGGCTTACCTAATTATTTACACAAAATTCTGAAAATACGGCTGAAATATTTTGGGAAAATATAAGTTCAATATTTAACAGTCCTTGAAATCTCAGAATTCTAGAAACATCAATGCTTGTATAGCTATCATTTCGACAGTGCATACTCTAATATTTCTTTTGTTTTTACTACCAAAACTGACATTTTGAAACACGCTTTTTAAATGTCACGGTTTCCTGTTATAAACTTTGTGTTCTATAAATACTTTTTTTGTCATAAGTTATTGTGTTTATGTCTGATACCTAACCTTAAAAAGAATGTGCTTAAAGATCTGCATTATTTTCTGGCATATGTAAGGATACTTACGAAAATACTGAACACTGTTTGCAGATTCATTTATAATTTTTTATTTATATTTCCTTAAAAAATAATACTTAAGTAATCTATATAAAGACATTCAAAAATGTAATTGCAAAATTCAATTTGTTCTTTTAGAATCACTTTAATATCGAAGGCTATACTCAAATAATTCAAGCAGAAGATGTCGCTCATGCTGCTAATATTAGAAGAATCTGAGTAAATCAGTGTCTAATCCCACAGTTTATTTTTCATTGTAGCTCGTAGATAAGGAAGTGCTTACTCCCTGGTATTCTTGATTATCTTAGATGCAGACTCTGATAAAAATATTATGAGGGAACCTTACATCAACCATTCCGATAAGATATTCTTTTTCATATATATATATATATATATTGGCCATTCAAGAGCTTGGAACCGTTACAGGTTGATTGAACATCAGATCCGCAGAGAGATTCTTAACACCATCAATACCTCAAGAGAAAGAGAGAAAAAAAAGGTTCTTAAAAACAATAACAAACACAAATATTAATCTTTGAGTACAAGACAAACGACGACCAGTAAAGCTGAATGTAGTTAGACTCAGTTAAAGTCAACAGAAAATGAATGAACATAAACTTGATATTTGTTACAAGAAATACTAGATGGATGGCGCACAATAAGTAATACTGACAAAAGTGGAATGAAGCAGTTTGTTACGGTACTTAGTAATATTACATTGCATTATAGCTTAACTAGTTAAAATAAGGCTTTATTTTGAACAACCCAATAGGCACTAGCCAATATAAATTGACAAAGTTGATTACACGTATATGAATGTGGTCACACCGTGTTCTAACGTAATCATGGTTGATTTAAAATGGTCAAAGATATTTCGAAAATTGGGAGTAAATAAAAACGTTTATTTGTTTGTTTTGAATTCTGCGCACAGCTACACGAGGGCTATCTGCGCTAGCCATCCCTAATTTA